AAACATTACACATTTAATTGATCCATGATCACATTTCGTTCAGCTCTTTGTCCTTATTTTGAACGTGCTGATGTTGTTCTGCTCTTCTAATGTCTAGTAACTCTCCTGAAGCTCATTTGGCTATTGTGAGCTATTGATAATATTTCACAGTGATGATACATACAGCATTCAGACATTTCACATATTCATCACAAAGACAATATTTGGCCACATGCAAACTCAGAAACTTTTATTTTGAAATTGCCATGTACAATAAATTGCATATTTAGAAACAGGTTGATGTATTGTCCTGTGTTGGCAAACGTTTATAAATTATATACATTACAAATCTAGTGAGATAATGCACAGTTTTCCCAGATGAACGTTAAGCAATTCAAATTCACAGCATATACAGAGGAAGAGTTTAGCCAGTCTTCACTGGTAAATTACCGGTAAGTTACCATTAAGAGATCATGTGTGAACAGGACCTTGTCAAAAATCCCGGTAAATTTGTTCTGGTGATCATATTGTTCCTATGGAGATGACATGATTACTCTGAGCTGTTTACAAAGCTCCACTGCCTTTTAATTAGTTATCCTATAGAAATATGCGTTAGATGGACATCTTTGACCATTGGGCCTCCCCAACAAACACAGAACGTTGCCTCAACGTAGCCAACCTTTTAGCAACGTTGTTACAACATGGCTAAAAGGTTGTTGGTTCTACGTTGCGTCGTTGAGGTTGTTACTGTGTTGTCACAATGTTGCCATTCAATCACGGTTCAGGGCCATTGCTGAAGGTTGTGCTTAGGCTGTCTGGACAACCACTAGACGACATGTACTCGTCACTGTTCCGAAGCGCATTTTAAATTTGAACAGACCGTTGGGCCGTTATTCTTTTTCAAGCCAGGATACGTCTGTCACGTATCCAGTCCATGAACTTCCATCTGTTAGCCATCAGAGGTCACCCTTCCCATTTCATTGACTCTTGCACTACACACTGTTGCATATCACCCGGACTACATATCCCATCATCCACTGCACTAACGACACACACACACTGTTGATTGCACAGCACTGATTGCACACAGCTGTTATCACTCACACATCCCCTATTTAACTCTCACATCTCAACTTTAACTCTGATCCCATTGCACTGCCGAGTATTGTTTAGCATTTATCAGTTTGATAGCTACACTACAGAGCCCTCGATAGGTGCCTAGTCTTGCCTTGCCTTGCCTTGTCTGTGTTCTCGATTTTTGCTCTTCGCCTGTTTTCCTGGATTTATCCCTTTAGTCTTGTCCCTCCTGATTCTGTTTGCCGTTCATCGACCTACGTTAGCCCTAGGACTATTCTTGTGTCTTGCCCGCCATATACCTGTTTGCCACTGTTTGACCCTGCCTGTTTTATGACCACGTCTCTGTCTTCTCCAAATAAAAAGCTTGCACATGGATCCGCACATCTCACGTCTTGTCAGCCACGTAACAGAATACTCGGCCGCACAAGGATCCAGCGGCTTTTCAAGTGGACATTGGCCAGGTATGGACACTGCAAGGCTGTTGTTAGCCCTCGAGCAGGGCACACGCTCGCTCGAGG